ATATAAAAGATAACCCTGTATATATCATATAGTAGATAGGTAGTCATAATTCTGCTGCACATTTATTGTAGAGTTACACAGAAATATTCCCGCTATTCGTTTTGATTTCTGGAGTGTTTGTTATAAAGAACGGAATTCGGCCCTTGAAATATTTGGCAAGAAAATTCTGCATACTATTATTGTTTCCGGTCTCACAAATTTTATGATAATGTTTATTTGAATATTTTCACCTTGAGATAAATGATTAATCTCTCTGCTGAAAGGAAACCTATCATTTTATTAGATTTTGACCTTCGGAGTTGAATTCCATTCATGTTAGGCCTCATTCGATTCCAATAAGTATTTTTTTTCCTATTGTAAAGTGTCATTTATTTATTAAAAACAACTACAGCTATTCTCCAATATACCATTATACAGGTTTATATGGAATAATTGATCCGGACAAAAATGTTGTTCCTTATCAAACCTACGCCAACATAATATGTATGGAAAACAAAAAAATAACATTCTATCATGTCGACGTGAGTATTGACCCCTATCAACGAGCACCTTGCAACCTACCAATAAGTGCCTAGCAGTACCTTAGGCTTGTTGAAAATATATCGATGTGTCGATATATCGATATTTTTTGCCGATATATTTTGATTTGATATATCGATACATCGATACAAAATAACCAATATCGAAATTCGTATCATAAACGATATTTTTTTTATTATTAGCGGTATATCACGATCTAACTAAATTCGTATCTGGAAAACTCGTAACTGGATCTCAGATTAATGATATTCAACATATCTATGATCTGTGCTGTATTTAGAATTGTCTATGTCATCATTCGAAAATAGGGTCTATTTTTAGGGAGATAATTTTCGTTCCATTATTATTCCGCGTGTCATATTTCGTGAGCTACTGTACGATATTTTTGGGAAAATTGGTCCGATATATCGATATATCGATGTTTCTTTCGCGATATATCGAAGCCGATATTGATATTTTTTAAAAGATCGTGTATCGATATATCGATATTTTTTTTAATTTTCGACATCCCTACAGTACTTATTGCCTCATCGCAAGTATAGCACAATTTTTCAGGGGGCTTTCCCCCATCTTACTAGGTTACTGTAGTCTGGGAGGGTCATTTGGAAGGCATTGAGATAGAATTTAAGTAGGGCCAAATATGTACTGAAATGCACCACTTCAGAGCTAATGGAATGCCGAAATCGCCTATAGTTAACCGCTCTAATTTCTAAATTCATTGCGTGTACTTTATGAATGAAAAGTAAATTGGTATTGTCGTGAAAAAATGGACTGAAACTCAGATGATAATCAATCTAATCTATTTATAGATTTTATCCAAACCCTAATAGTGCTAAGGAAATATGTTTATTTTTAACCATGACTGCCAGAAAAGAGAGTAATGTTTTATTTTTGCTTGGTTTGAAATGATATACGAGTATCATCAAAGTAAATATATATTACGATACTGCCAATCATTAATGATATTAAAAGGAGAATTACTATATTAGTTTCAGTTAATATATCACATCGTTCGTACGTCACTACGAGCGGCGCTCTCGCTATTGCTGTATACTGTACCCTTAGCACGAACTAATGTCGAATTCGTAACGTTTGCGAGTCCGAAATGTCATTGTCAAATGTGTACTGATTTTTAGTTCTCGTTATGTACTTTGCGCGCGCTGCTGTTCAAGTTTCCATACAAAATTTGACATTGACATTTCGATTTGGGTCGTGCTAAGAGTACTGAAACCGAGGCGATTATGTACCTCTAGCGTATTACTCGCGTTTCGCCTGTTTGTATGAGGAATACTGTGGATATTATTGTCGCGTCTAATGCATCAAATAAGGAGTCAGAGTAGGCTCAGAGGTGTGATCAATATTCCAAATATTTCAGCAAGGGACACTTGAGTCTTAACTTTGAGAAAGGACTCCTAGACATACATCTGTCTGACCTCGGTCGGTCGAATAGTTGGGGCGGATGTCCCATTGGGTTACTGGAGTGTTATATAGATCTTCCATTCCCGTATTATTTCAAGCTTAGACTTTTCCATCCGATATGAAAGAAAATCGTACTTAAAGATAATTTTATTAGAAAAACTTCAATTCGGCTCAGATTCAGGTTGGAATTAATCTAGCTATCGGTTTCACTATTATAGGCGCTGCATTATTTATGCTAACACTTCACATGGCATAAAAAATGCGATTGGCTGTATAGAGGACAGTGATAACAATAAATAAAATAACTGAATAGGAAGACATTTCTTCTGTTTTTAGGCGCACAATCAGCCAATTTGAATCCTGGCCCACCATAAACTTATATTGTTACAACCATTTCAAAACAATAAGGTTGCTTAAATGTACGTATTTCCGGAAACAAACTTGTTAAATTCTGAACAATCACATTTGACGTGACAGATTTTGTCGGCTTCCGGTGACATAATTCTGTTATTAAATTATTTGGAGTTTTGCTCATGGACTAAAATTTCCTTATTTGTTTACCAATTTTTTTTATAATGTCACGAAATCGAAAGAGTTTCTGTTACATTTACGATTTTAAAAGTGATTTCGTAATTCAAACTTCTTTTCCAATTTTATCTACAACATGGTCTATTGCATTAAAAATAAAGGTCAAATTTCAAATATCTTCGATCACACAGATTACTTGTTATTAGAAAGTTCTTAGTGCAATAGGGTATTTAACAAGTTTTAGAAAATGATCTCACGTTATTGACTAATGTGTATGGAGTCCGTTAAACGTGGATATCCATCATTCTGTTGTGTATTTTATTAAAAATAGCCAAATCAAAAACTCCATTTTCAAGTTGCCGCGAAAACGTTTTTCTGGACAATATGGCATCTTACTAGTGAGTGACGTCACACGACTGTTATTAAAACGTCAAACGATACAGTGTAATATCACTTTAACCGGAAGTTTACTTGCATGTGACGTCATTTTAGGCTCCGCCAATCCCAAGCGTTTTGGGTCACGTGACCATAGATAAGAAAACTATTACCTTTTTCCGTGGGTTTTTAGTAAAATTATGAATATTATTTTTGTAAAAATAGTAAAAACCCCTGCCAATATTCATTCTAAACACAGATGCTAACAATTGGCACTTTATTTTTAATACTGCCAATTACCCTATTACGCTATCTACAAAGGAAAAATTGTCTGTTTTGACATTTATTAGGCGAATAGGGTAAGTGAGTTAGGAATCAGTTTATTCGTAAATACACTCGTGGTATCTATTAAAATCTATGTCAGTGGGAAAGAGTACCCAAGACAACACTTGGCTAAACAGCTGTTAATTAACAACGGTTTCGCCAAATATTATTATTTCATGAAATGTGAAATGAAACTCCAAACTACAAGTAATTTATTTATTTACTTGTTAAGAGAAATATAAACAGTTCTTTTATCATTAAACCTACATAAATACGTTAAATAAAACACAGTTTATTTTTACAATACTTAATAATTACTTTTTAATTTTAAATATGCGACGATATTATTTGTCACAATGTCTTTGAAATGATACAACAGCTTTTTTACATTAAACATTTTAAATTGTTAGCAAAATAAACAAGACTCGATTCTGATAACTGAGAAATAGGAAGATACATTTTTCCTCGCTCTGACTTCAAATATATAAATGATAGCATTGTATGGAGAATCTCAGATTCTTTATTGGGTATAATTTAATTTCCTCGACTTGGATAAAGTTAGTAATTAAATTTGAACAATTAATACTGTGTTATAAAGTGTATTTGTTATTATAAAATGTTTTAGAGATTACATTTTATGTTTTAACGAAGTAAATTAAATGACTGTCAGAATCATCATACATTGTATTTCATTCTTACTATTATAATCGTTATGCAGTGACCACACCATCTATTTCTTATTAAATTATAGGTTGGGCCAAATTCTGGGTTGAATATGTACCTAAATTGGAAGAAAATGGAGCAGTTTATTGCTTAAATTATAAATAAAAGGAAAGACGGTTCTCTTTTTAAGTATGTATAATAAGATCAGGATAAGGATAACTTATTGACACATAGATTTAGATAATATTTTACTAGAAAATATTTCCCGCGGACCAGGCAGCAGACGGGATACGAACCCTCACATTTCGCTATCCGGACGAATGCACTGACCTAATGGTCAGTCATTACTACCGCTAAATTTCTCTAGTGCTTTTAAGCTGCAAGGCAGCGCCATCTCTTCGCGTTGTAAGTAACCCATAATCCCGTTCTGTCCTCTGCCTGGTCCACGTGTAATTTTTCCAGTAAAACATTATTTATATTTAAACATATAGCATCTTAAATGATTAAAAAATAAAAATATAACAAATGAATTTATGGTAAGTCTTAGAGATCATACCAGAATTAGGCTCAATTACATAGTATTTACAATTCTTCAGACCATTTAAGTCGTAAGAAAACTATTGTTTTAGTATTAGGGATTCTATTGTTATTTGAATAGAGTATAAACTTATGTGGGCAAGTACCACTTGCGACAAACAATTGACTAAGCAATAAGAACTTGACAAAGAAAATAAATAACACTCTTTTACCAATCAAATATTGAACGTCAAAAACAAGAAACCTTATCAAATATGGATGCTTATAATAGCACGATGAAAACAAGTATACACATAATATTTATGTGGTCCTATTTTATACATTAATGATCTATTTATTTATGTTACAGATACAATATTTATTAATTGATATTTTTTCTTCTTCATTCATAACATTGTCCTTTTATATTCACAAAGTTATATTCACATCAAGGCGACCCGTCTAAACAGTTAAAAGATTTAGAATAAATTTAAACATGAATTGCGACTCAGATATTTATTTTGAAAGCCTATCATAACAATGAATATTGATACTGTTGACAACCTTACACAAACAAAAAGAGTTTAGGTTACATTTGAGATTAAAGTAAAATTGAAAACCAAATCGATATCTCTTACCCGCAGCAATTATATTATTTTTGATTAAAAATTACTCACTATTGTCTTTACATTGAACGTTTACGCGCACTGATAATTTCATTAACCACTCTTTGAACGGGTATAATAATAAAGAAGTCTCTCTCTAAAACGAGTAAAAATCAACATGTGGATCGCAAAACTCATAACTCGAAGGCTCGTTCATAGGACGCGATGCGTTAATTTTTACACGAAACCTATCGAGTAGTATGTATGGATCATTACAAACACGGAGCCAATAAAGAATCAGAAATTAAAAAAACAAAAAAGACGGTGAACCCGCTCTAAAAGTCTTTTATTAAATGTTAATCAAGTATTTCATATACTGTCTGTACTTGAACTTTATTTATTTCATGATTAAATTTTACAGTGTCTTCCTTAAGGTACTTATTTCGCGGAAATCTGCAATCTGAAAACATCTATACAAATAACTGTAAAATTGCATTAATTGAGAAGGTGTTCAACAAAACGTGCCATTAGTCATTATTCCATCATTAATAAAGCTGTTGACCAAACTTAAAAAGAAATGCCGACCCAATTCTGCTACCGTCTTTTTACATCACATTATACTTAATAGAATTCTCTCCATAATTGAAAAAATAGTCAACAGCTTGCATGTGAAGTACTACAGCACTGAAACGTATTGTATTTATTGCCTATTTGCTTTGCAATAGGACTTAAATTAGCAACAAAAAGTTCAATGTCGGGATTACGAGTCGTGCAGTGTAACATAGGGTGTCGTCAGCAGACCGGTCACTTGACTTGAGCACTGTTTCTGGGCTTCACCAGCTCTCGGGACCAGCACAAGTTGTTCGAGGTCGCCCTGTGGGTAAGAAGTAATCATAAGGGCCGAGTCAAAGCGGAAACGCAGCGACCGGTGGCGACGTTGCGAGCACTTTCAATGTGCGGCGAGCTGTTTCAATTTTAAACTATAACTACCTAGGTGGGTATTGAAAATACTCGTATCGCTTGAAAGCGTCGATGTAGCCGTGCGGCTCCCCGCGACGTTACCAGCTCGCGACACCGTAAGAACTTTTCTTTTAAGTATGCAGATAAATTTTAAAATTAAAGTGCTCACCGCATCGCTGCCTGCCGCTGCCATTCCGGTGTGAATTGGCCCTTAGCCATATAGACACAAAATTATTTATAACAATGATATCATCATCATCAGCCTATTAATGTCCCCACTGCTGGGGCACAGGCCTTCCCTATGGATGGAATAGGGAGGCTGGGCCATGACCCACCACGCGGGCCCAGTGTGGATTGGTGGGTGCTAACGACAGCAGGTGCAGCCGGGACCAACGGCTTAACGTGCCTTCCGAAGCACGGAGGAGCTCGAGATAGTAAATTTTTGGTCACCCATCCAATGACCGACCACTGTGAAAGTTGCTTAACTTCAACGATCGCAGCCGAACGCGCTAACCACTTGCACCGTCGAGCTCCTCATAACAATGATAATATGAAGTGTATTTCAGTTTGATTCTAATGTACATCTGCTCCCTCGGTAAATGGAAACATCAGAGCGAGCGAATAAGTTCGTACAACGATGTGTGAATGGTTTCAAGGATCGAATGCTCTCTTGCTCAGTCATCAATGGTAACAACGCAACATTGTTCTGAGCATTCCATTTACTGAGCGGACAAGTGTTTGCACGCTTGGAGCTTTTCTGAGCATTAGCTGAATACACACGTATTGTATCTTCATAAACTTAAATCTAAAGTTTTTTTTACTAGAATAAAATCCACTCGGGCCAGTCAGTAGACGAGTCTCGGAACCGCACGCTATGCGGGCGGATGCACTGACCATTATGCTACCGCGGTCCTAAGGGCCGTGTCGAATTTCTCTTAGTAATTCTTAGACTGCAAGGGAAAATTTCTTTAGATTTTAACTTCTAGCAGTCAAATGCATCAAAACAATAAAAATATAACTACATAAACTTAATTTTACCGTAAATTATTCTTGAATTTTTTGTTAAAAATAAAAGTCAGAAATGCATCTTTTTTAATAACCCGGAAACTCTAATAGATATCTCGAACTGAAATCGAGAATCCAAAGCCGCACACAGTGGTCTCGAACCTACCGAATTTTCGGTATATCTACCGATATGGCATCTGTCCTACCGAAATACCGAAATGCAATGTTTTTTCCACGATTTCTTAGAATACATGGAATTGTCCCGATTTTTCTACCGATTTTACACTTTAAGAAGTCGGCAGATCTTTTCATTTATGCTTAACGTTACGGGAAATCATTCAACAGTTAGTATGGATGATTAGTTATTCAATTGCTAAAAGTGAGATATTAACAAAAAATCATATCGTGATGACTATGTTATTTTTTCTGCTATAATAATTATGGCACACTAACAAATTCTAAAGGAATATAATCGTCAGTTGATTATCAGAAGTATGCGCGAACAGCATTCCCTCCCCCCGTTTAGATACGATAAAAAAGTAACGTAAAAATTAGTCTGTAAGTGTGATAAATAAACAAATTTGAATTAATATGGTATTTTTTGTTATATACCGATTTTAGGTACAAATATACCGATTTTAGAGGGCAGCTCTACCGATTTCTAAAAATGACGTTAGAGACCACTGGCCGCAAACACGCGATTGTAACCAAAAATGTTACTAGTGAAAAACATAGAGGAAAACCGGGGGACTTATCCAAGCGGGAGAGTTGAACCATCTTTCAATACTGTATTCAAATTTAGCATAAACAAAACGTCAATTCGTTAGTAGATCAAGACTATTAACATTAAAAAGCTATAATTGTACATGAATTCATGTATTACTTTTTACGTAGAAATTATGCAAATAATTTGAAAAATAATACTCCAAATAAGCTTACATCTTAAGTTATTCTGTGTAAAGTAAACACAGTCTTAGCATTTTCCCAATACCAAATTAAATATCTCGTTTCAGTTTCAGAGAATCAAAAGTAATTTAAGAACATAAAAGTGATGTCTGATGCTGTTTGCCAAGAAATATTACGGGGATTTGTAAACAAAGCTCTGAGAAGCAATTTGCACGAATTGATTATTTGCAATTGGTATAAGTGTTTTATCCTAAATTTCACATTTACATTCACTTTTGGCGTATAAATGGCGTTGTTCTATCTTCTTGGGCCCGCTATGAATACCTGATTACTTACAAAATTTCCTCTTTGATACTTCGCAAAAGTATATTCGCGTATTCGTAAGGTATGTTGTAAAAGAAAAGTGGTTCCATCTAAAGTAATTTGAGTGTCTACCTATAAAAACTGTATGGTTGAAAACTGCTAAAAATACACCTTATTAATAAGCCCCAAACTATACACCGTGAATTTTTTTGAGTTATTAATATTTTCATTTACAATACAAATACAATACAAAACTCTTTATTTTACACCACATATAAACATAAAACATGAAGTACATAATTAAAGAATACACTGTAATAATGGGCGGTCTTATCGTTAAGAGCGATCTCTTCCAGACAACCTTAGGATGGAGAGGACAAGAAAGAAGCTGGAGAGAAGGGGCGCCGGGCGGTACAATTAACTACACAAAACAACATAACAATCAATAAAACTAATATAAACAACATAGGTATATTAAACAATATATACATATATATATATGTATATATATATTTATAAATAAATACATTTATTTTGGCAACAATCAGTCATTTAAATAATATTGAGGTACATGCATATATGTCAATATTAATAGACCAAAGAGTGCCCAAAGCTCATTAGAATTATACATAGTATAGTCTTAACATAGTCAGATTTGCACGTGTATTCGTCTAATGCTAAACAATTTATTGATATAAAATATTCAAAAACTTATAATGTAAGTTATCTGAGAAACTTAAAAATCGTAAAAATAGTGAAAATAGTTATAAACAGTAAACGCACTGATTACAAATTACATTACTTTACAAAATTTGTAAAGTTTATAAATTATCCGTCAGTTTTATTCGAATCAATTTATGTCAAACGTAGAAACATTTTTCGAAAATATTAATGAACGAAAAGTAAAAGGTTTGCGGAAACCTAACCTAAATAATTGGCTGAATTAGCTAGTAAAGTAGTATCTCAGGGATCTTGAAATTAGGGGTGTATATAAATTATGTTAGAAAAAAATATACAAGAGCTGTGAAACTACCTACATGTAAAGTTACGTTCATTAAATATACCAAACATATAGTGAAATGCTTCCTCAAATTATTTACTTTGTGTTTGAAACTAATCGGATATTGCTTGCTATTGCTATGACAGACTAATTAATGCCAACTTAACTAATATGAGCTTTAAATTAAATTTGTCCTTGTTATGTGACATCGATACTTACTACTGAATTATTGTTGTTATGTTTATATTTCATTAGAGTCATTAAAACGAATGCTTTGTGTCTTAGAGAGAGGCCAAAATACGACAATGAGATTAAAAAATAAACGACATCGATTAGTTTTTGAAATCTATCTATATACTCGTATGTAAAACTCAAAGGTGACTGACTGACTGACTGACATAGTGATCTATCAACGCACAGCCCAAACCACTGGACGGATCGGACTGAAATTTGGCATGCAGGTAGATGTTACGACGTAGGCATCTGCTAAGAAAGGATTTTGATCAATTCTACCCCCAAGGGGATAAAATAAGAAATGAAAGTTTGTATGAAACTTTGACAATTTTAATCCGATCGGGCTGAGACTTTGCATGCAGGTATAATAAGAAATATAGATGAATGTAATTGTGTATAATACAAGCCTGAGAACAAAAACTGTAGTCTACAATTTAGCTCTATACCGAAGCAAAGCGAGGGCGGGCCACTAGTATATATATATATATATATATATATATATATATATATATATATATATAAAACTCAAAGGTGACTGACTGACTGACTGACATAGTGATCTATCAACGCACAGCCCAAACCACTGGACGGATCGGACTGAAATTTGGCATGCAGGTAGATGTTATGACGTAGGCATCCGCTAAGAAAGGATTTTGATTAATCCTACCCCCAATAGGCTAGACTAGATTTTTCTTTGTTATTTTCTGGTTGACAAAAGAAAAAAAAATACATGTTCCATTATTTTTTGATAAATCTTACTGACGGACTAAATACAAATATGTTTATTTTACCCCGTCAGTATTCCTATTCTAACTACCGACTAAGAAAAACACCATTCAGACAAAATGATTACATTATGAATATGAAACACACCAAAAACAATTCTCACCCATATGAAGTTCAAAGAAAACACAATAAGAAGACGGTTGTGCAAATAAAGGAAATAATTTAGCAGACCTACATAAATATTTGGTTGGGACCTCTTCACGGTTGGCCTGCGATTTGATTTAACACACCCACTTACCGAGAAAAGATATCCTATTATGAGATCCGCGTCCCTTGGTGTGTCCAAAGCATCCTTTTCTAGGACATCCGTTCTTAACCAGCGGCAGTCAACGTATGCCCGTACTGTGTTGTCATCGTGGACACTGCGAAAAAGAAAATTGACTTAAAAATAATGCGTGGTCTGAATAAAAGTATAATGTATTATGATTTTGATAAATCGAATTTTTACGATAATCCTAGGGATTTTGCGAAAACGCGGATAATTAGACAGTGCCGATGACATTGCTTAAACTTACTGAAAAAATATAGGATTATTGCGAAAACGTGAAGTCTCCTCAGCAAGATTGCGAAAATAATCGTTAGCTTATTAAAAATACTGTAGGGATTTTGGGTTCTCAGGTTCACACTAGTGTTTTGTGTGAAAACGACACGCGAGCTGAGCGGGCAATTTTAGGAAAACATTATATTTTGGATTCTTTTTTTTTATATCGCAAGCAAACTGAATACAAACAAAAAGATGATAATAAAAAATAAAGTTTTAACAAACAGCAAAATAAGCGGTTTTTTGTTTAGATATTATTACAGTGCTCATCAGTTTAGTCCCAGAAAAATCCATCCGTTAAGTTGTAAATGAAAATTAGAGATGGCTACCGTCACTATCAATTTAATGTATATCACGTTGTTGCTAAGCACTCAATGTTTATCACAGTGCACATAATGAAGAGGTACAGAGATAAAGATGATCTTGACAAAGAACGTAGGGAATTTTTATCACAAATATTATTATGATGAATTATTATTAATATACAAAAAAAAATCAGCGCTGAATAAATCACGGCTATTCCTTTATTTTATAATATCACTAAAGTTTAGGAGTTCAGTATTGCAAAAACAAAACAGCTTGTTTACAGTACAGTTGGTGAACCTTTGAAAAGGCCTTTGGAAACTTTTATTAATCGATTTTCTTAGCAAAGGCTTTACCTTTCTCAACAATATCATTATAAAACTAACTTCTCTGGTATTTTAACTCAAAGATTTATAATAATGGAATGCCTAAAATATTTCCGTTGCTGACTTTGAAATTGTTCGTTCAACCTTGTATGTAAGACCTACTCTTCTCTTGAAATCTGGTACTTACATTACAGGTAGGTTCTCTCTACCATTTGCTTATCTGTGATTTATTGCGAGTGCTACGACAATCTTTTCTGGTTGGTCGTTACCTGGTTTTCTTCAAAAATACGTGCACAGCTTCAGGAATGCATTAAGATCTAAAGTAAGTACATTATATGCAGGTTTACGTATTAGGATTTTGAATTTGATAATTAAACCAAACTCGCCGAATGTTACACGAATCCTAGCAAGAATAATTTTTGATCGAAGGCAAATTTTTATTGCATTCTCAAAATTCTACAATTTTTTTTGTTTTACTATAAATAAGCTTGTGCAGTAATATCCAGAGATGCTGAGGATGGTTAGCGTAAACCAAAATAGGAAGAAGAAGATAAAAAAATAAGTAAGAATAATAAACAAGAACAAATTAAGGACAAAATTGTTCTCATATCACTCACGCTCATCAAATCATAATAATTGCTTTCAAAGTCAAGTTCAAGAACCATCAAGCAGAGAAGAAAATTACATTTTAATGTAAGTATTTTTTTTCATAACATCAGTGTTTTACAGTTTGTTATAATTTAAGACGTCACACAGAGTTACTTCAATATGTCCTCGGGAGTAACATAACATGTTACTTTCGAAATATTCTAATTTATATCAAAGGCAAATTCCATCTTTATTTGCTCGCACACAAACACTTCAATTTCGCACATCTATTTAAGGTAGATTTTCATTTCGTACGCCTACATTAGTTTAATGAAACTCGTTCCTTTGATATTTACGATTTGCTTATATGTATTGCTTTTACCATTGAAAACTTTTTGATTGTGCTCCTTTCAAGTTTTGTGAGCAGAAAAAAAATTTTGGGAAATATTACTGGTAATCATACGATAATGATTGTGTGTAAGACTGAATCGACGTAGATTTCTGCTCTCATATTATCAATTTCTATCAATCCAGTTTCATTGCTTTGCTTGTGTCGAAGGTATCACATTTAAAAACAAATGGTACATGTATACTGTCGACGCTTGTGTCTCCAATTTGCACAACGACGAAAACGGAACGTAACGGGTGAAAGAAGCCACGAAGAAGACCCGCGCATTCGAATTTTATACAATTTTTCTATTTTATTTCAATTATTGTAATTAAAACATAATTAAACGTCTTATCAAGTATACGAGTACCTCATTAGATAGGAGACCTGACTGTCCCAAACATATACAAATAATATGATATATAATTTCAGATGGTGATTATATCATTATCTTACTAAAGAACAGATCTTAATAAAGATGACGACCTCCGTGGCCGAGTGGTTTGTACGCCGGGTTTCATGGTGTCACCGACTCAGATGTTTGTGTGATGAATACGAGCAGTTGTACTCCAGTCATGGGTGTTTAATATGTTTTTCTATATAAATATACTTATATATGTACAGTATATGTATTCTATTCGTTTCCCTGGTATCCCATAACACAAGCCTTACAGTGGGGGTAACTTCGGGGTTAGGCTAATTGGTGTGTGTTAAAAAAACGATAAATTACTCCTCACTTTAATTTAACATACAACTTATGACTAACTTTGTACTCTTGACGACGTGCAAGAAGTAACAAATAAAAAAGGCATGTCAGCCATTCTCTGAACAATGACACCATTATTGTCACATGGAAAAGAAATAAGCGACTTAATAATTCTGAAGCCGCCCTTTCAGCAATCGGCGGCGTCGACGGGCGATCGCGTTAATGCGACAAGTTAATGCTACAAGTGGAGTGATAAATGATCGGCTCAAGCTGACTCCGCGTTGATAGGTGGGGTCACTCAGATGTAGATAATGATAAGGCCTACTAGCAATAAGTTAAACTGAATCTTTTAAGTAAAAAATGCGTGAGTGCCGTGTAGCCCAAGAAACAGAAATCGCGGTTATACTTGATCGTAATGAAATTTTTTACCACACACTGGTTTTTTTTTACAGATGTAGGGTAGGTCTTGAGAAGCTTAAGTTTAAGCATTGATACTGTAACACAGTGTATATAGACTAACTCAATGTGTGTAGCGGTGGACTGTACTAAGCTAAAAAGGGATTCATTTAGAGAAATGACACGTAGCAATACATAAATACATAAAAACCTATGACAAAGGCTAAAACTACGCATTCTGTACTTTATTTTTTAAGTAAAAAAAAAATCTACTACGCAATGTATAGTGCGGCGCGCAACTGTGGCGCTTTGCAAACAATGTGCCTGTGTGTGTGCGTGTGTTTAAGTGCGTCGATAAAAAGTTTCTAAATAACGTTTTCGTAAAAATCTTGAAAAGAATATTGTGACTTTGACCTTTAATATCTCCATAACCATAAATTTCCTAGGTATGGTCCAGAAGAAAATAATGATCGTCATGTTGTGGAAAATACTTGGCCTTCGACTTTGTTAAAGGTTTTTTTACGCCCTGCATAATTTCGAGTTCACAATCAGAATGTTAGTAAGCAGTATTAGTATTGACAAGACAATAATTATACAAGGCCGAACTGAACCACAGGTCATAAGCTGAAGACTGCAGGCGACACTACTAGTTTCTTTGGATCTCTATGAAATTGATTCCGAAAGCGGCGACATGCCGCGGCTGCACAATGCATATAATTAATCACATCACACTAATATTATAAAGGCGAAAGTTTGTGAGTGTGTATGTTTGTTACTTCATCACGTCTAAACGGCTGGAGTGATTTTAATAAAATTCGGTATGGAGTTTGCTGTCACCCTGGATGAACACATAGGCTACGATTTACTGCGGGTAAATGTCGATAATAAGCCGCGGGTAACACCGCGGGGCACAGCTAGTAATAATATAATGTCGCCTGCAGCCCATTGCGGAATTGTACCTTAACAACAATCTATCAACAAAGAATAATGCCAAATGGTGACGTAGAAAAGTATAAAGAATTTAATAAATACATAATAATATCAAAAGAGTTTAGTAGGCACAGCCAGTCGCCAACACTCAGTATTCAACGAATAATACGAAATCATACCCATTATGGCTGTTTTGATTTAATTTTATTATCATTGAAATGAAGTTCCCTTTCTTACGGCATGGCGGTTGGAGCTAAGCGAAAAAATTGTTATTTCTCAATTTTTTCAAAGTTTGATATTTGTCATTTTGACAGCAAGTTGTCGTTACCACACCACACTCTTAATCTAATCAAATGGTTAGACTGTTGTCACGTTTACAAACACAGATAGTCAAGTTAACGGCTGGTGCCGGCATAAAATATGCCTAAATATGTATTTTTATGTAAGTACAGTAAATCTGTCCTTAGTATGGTGTGAGGGTCTAGAATATATAAATTGTGCTAAAGTTAAAGGATTACCAAAACATCAGCCTACTGTCCTTTTCTATATTGATTTTTAAGCTATTGCATAGATTTTATCGCGGGCTTTGAGCGCAGCGACAGAATCAAGAAATTTCATAACGAAAATAACCTGCAACAGTGGAGATGAACACAATTTGCGCTTTTCCAGTATCGATCGAAACGGCGCAGTGTGTTAAATTTTTGCCACGGGACCAACGTTCTTCGCATTACCGCGGTCGTCGGTTCAATCCCGCACTCGTATTTTTTATTATATTTTTTTTCCTTTTTTTATATATATTTGTTTTAGACCCCAGCACCTGTTCTTATTTTATTTGTCTCCCTTTTATTTAGACTTTACAATTATAATTTAAATTTTTGGACTAAAGATGGTAAACTGTGGAGCTTGTGGAAGTTTTTTGGCGTCGGGCAATGCTGTTGTTTGCTGTGCTTGCCCATTATAATATCATAAGACCTACCTCGCCATCTATTAATATCGAAAAAAAAATACTGCATAAATAAAATAAATAAATAATTATAATTGCATAAGTTGATAAATAATGCTATGCAATAGCTTTACCGCGGCAGTTCCCGAGTGTAACACGTATTTTTTTTTGTATTGTTTTGAATGCATTAAAGGCTGTTTAACGATCCACTTACTTAGATGAAGCCATTAGCAAGGCAACACACTGCTTTTGGTCCGGCCCGTTAACGACTGTCACTTTTAGCGGCCAGTGGCCTTTAAATAAGGAAATATTTGGGTTTTTCTAATTAAAAATGTTACGCTACGGACAAGGGGCATAAATTTTAAGGTCCCGCTTTATGATAATGATGGTAATATTTCATATTTATTTTTGGTCGTACATAATTTTAACAAATTAATTTCCATTTCATTTTCTCTCTTTTCTTAATTAGACCTAGTAAAGTTGATTGTAAAATATGCAATAGTAATCATTTGGAAATAAATATTAACTGGACTGAATAGTTTTGTGTTAAAGGTTTTTGGATAATATTGCAATACGAATGCTCGGGCTTTATTTTTGGCCAAAATTTGAGATTTAAATTACAGTGGAATTAAAATTGCAAGTTAAATGTATTAGAACAATCAAACGTTAACAAAAGGGTTGACAAAAGGTGTAGGTGGTTGACATATAAAGCATATTATGTTAAAAGCTAAGAATCTTAAACTTATTTAGCCATATTAATAGCATGCAAAAATTCTAACATATTAAAACATAACAGTTATATAACAGCATTCTCATTTTACCTATCATTCATTTTCTGGTATACTTTTGTATGAATAATTCAAGTTCTACAATGGAACAAAAATCTTGTACTTACTTAATAAATAATAAGACTGACAAGAATAAGATGAAAGGAAGATGGAAATAAAAGTCAAATAGGATATTAAACAAACATTTTACTAGTGTAAAATGATTGTTTTTAAAGATAGTTCATTAAAATATATTTTATACTTTCAAAACCAACATTTTACGTTTCTAAAGACGATCGACATTACCATATTTAGTGATCACTTACCTAATCTTATTGTCATTGATAACCGAAAATAAATCGATCATTGGTTTGTATCGGTCATTTGTGACACTACTTAGCACTATTTAATTAAGGTATAGTTTTTCATCTCCCAATCTCAAACCTACCAGTTTCCCCTTTTCGAAGCTATATACTGCAGCGTATATGGCTCCCTCCCTACCTCCGTTCAATAAAGCTCCCTCTGCCCATACACTTAGTCAATGTTTTCCTTAATAATAATAATCAAAACGATATACCCAACGTACCTTACAGCGATATGATGCCAGCGGAAGTCATACAAGGGTACCGCTAGATATATGGACCTGGATGACCCAGCTCCCGCGTGGACCAGTCTCGCCGCCCCCCGCCCCGCCAACTCGAGGGACAGGAAAGACCCAGTTCTACGCCTGGACCTCAGTGAGAACAAGGTCCCTTGGCCGTAGCCCCCACTCTGGATGAAAAGATAGAGCTATTAGCACTCGTAATCACAACTTTACACCCTAAAACAGAAAGTTGAAGAGGGCATGGCGGGCCAGTCACCACCATTAATTTATTTTATGTACTTTTTTTTAGTGAAGGTTACTTCTAAATTAGGAAAATAGGAAATTATACGTTTGCCAGCAAAAGTATGACGAATTAACATTCAGTTTAGCACCAATATCGAAATTCATTTGAGTGAGTTAAAAATGAATACTTTATCCTTAAAAGTGTTTTCAACATCAGGAATTGAACGAGGAACTTTAATTTCAACGGTTGGTGTTTTATGAATTAATTGTATTTTATTTTGGTTTTAAAATATCTAATTACATATTTTTTATACCAATAAATTAAACATGATGTGCTCAAATAGCTTTTAACCAGCAAACCAGTGAACCAAATGTTCACCAAAACCTGATTTAAAAAAAAATGTATTTAATTAATTGAGAACTTCGGAGATTTTGTGTGGTTTCGTTTGGAATTCGTGATTTCTCGAAAACCGGAAGTGCTACTTTACTCAAATCCGGTTTATAGTCTTATCAGACTATTCTTAACTTATAACTTAAATATTCTCTTTATCTATCTCTTACGGTTTGGCACTGAAACAGCACCACAGACGGACGGACAGACTTGTCTAATAGATAAGAGATAATATCTTTAAATTAATTATTATAATATCCAAAACAGGATGAACAATGATTGAATAAAGCATAGAAAAACTAATTCAATTTCCACGAGAGTATAGCTTTTAAAATAAATTAAATATAATAAAGTAAAAAAAAATTAAATAAAGTAACTTGATGAGTAGCTGTCTTTACATCTTGCGTTTGATATTGTATGATAGATTTAAAAATATTCATTGTTATATCTTACCTCAGGCCTTAGCCTCAAGGAGATGAACAATGTGAACTCCCTAGGGAAGGTCTTGCCAACCCCGAAGAGCTCTGAAGACGCGATCCAGATGTAGGAGTTAGGCCTTAGGCTGAACGCATGAGGCCTGTCCGAAACGGTGCCCCATCGCGCCTGCGCTGGGTGGAAGTTTCGCCTCGCTCCAGGCGCTAGTGGGTTAATTGCTCCTATATGCACATAGAAAAAATATATATGTCACCTGCAATCTGTATAATGCCGATATTCTATACAAAACCTAGGCAATGTTAAGAATGCCTGAGGCGTCTAGGCAATTAATGAAATAATATAAATATTATTTTCCAGGTTATACTTTGCCTGGATAATGTATGCAATTCCTATGAATTGTATAGATTACCTGCTGGCCCACCGGCAAAGTGTAAAATACAACTGATTTGGCATATAATTATCGTAACAAAACCTAACTTAGCCTACCCAGTTGGATATGAAATGAAAATGAAGGAAAGATGTATAATTCTCAACGAATGAATTACAGACCAATTAACGTTTGACCAACTCGCAGTGGGTTAGGTTAAGTTAGTGTTGTGACCTAAACTTAGCGCAAGCCGAGCGAGCAAAGCGAGCGTACCGCGGCAGCGGCCAGCGAAGAGCCAGCCTCCTGATAGATAATAAAGCCCACTAAAAATATCTACTACATATGGTAGATATGCACGTCCGCTACACGCACACACACAAACACACATTGACTGCTTTAGTACAATCTGACTAAACAGTGACGAGCTCATTGCATAAAGTATGAGCCGTTTTTTTTACGTGATTTATTTGAATTACTTTATCTAGGTGGATAAATAATCGAAGTTTAAAGTATTGTTTTAAACTTTCATGGTCACTAACATTATAGTAATATAAGTTATTTACGGGATGGTTACCATGTACCTTGTTTTTAGCGAGTTTCCGTTCTTCGGCATTGTTGCAAGCGCCATGATCACGGAGTAACTGAAGTAATTACGGGTAGGCTGTTATTGGCAGACATATCGGTCTACCCTCTGACGAACTCTTTTGTTGCGTTCGATACCCGTACCACTGTTCACATTCTCACTATTCACTCGAAACTGGTCCGTGATCATGGCGCTTGCAACAGTGCGAAATATCGGAAACTCGCTAAAAACAAGGTACATGGTAACAATCCCGTAAATAACTTGCACTACTATAATCAAAGTTTAAACCTCATTTATTATCTGTTAAACAGGATAAAACCTTAATTAAGATTAAGATTTGAGTATGTTGGTGCAAGTGGACTTTACAATACCCATCACCGAAAGTAATAAACAACCTATTCTATGTAAAGATAAGTTTTATATTAAATTTTAACCTTCATCACCTTTTTGTAAACTCAAAAAAAAAAAATGAAAATCCTTTACCATCATTGCAGAGCTAAGTTAAGAAAAAAAAAATCACAAAACGATGTCCGTTCAATAAACAGGGTGAAATCATCTCGTTGTCCGTTCAATCAGTAAAGCAGCAAAACGTGATAACAACATAAAAAAGGACCAACCTTCACAATCAAAGGAATTACACGCCCTCCCCTGTTCTCCGTACCCCTCGCAGACGGTCTTCGAGCAGTATCTCCTCCGAGTCTGTTTCCCCCCTCCACAGCTCCTACTACAGGCACCCCACTCTCCCCAGCCCGCCCAACCTGCAATTTGATAGATGAGTAATGTTGTGCGAAACTACTCCTCGTGACTTTGGGGAAAAATCGGGCAGAACTTATGAGGGCGAAGCGGGCAGTTGCTCAATTTCGTTAATCCGACGGTCAAACTCTGCTCGTGTTCCAATTTCAAAGGGAGTGATGCCATTATTTCTGATGCGTGCGGTTTGGCGGTATATTGGCGGCTATCAGCTAAACTTTGTACCTTCTAAAATCTCGCAGAGCGTACGTCTATTTTATGTCGACGAAAAGTTCTTTGGGCACGTCCTCGTGGGGCGTTAAATAACTTTATTACCACAAGTTTTCCAATCCTTTTCTTTAAGAATGAAAAGATACTCGGAATTTTAAGTTCCTGGCCTTATGAAATTAAAATCAACTTCAGAATCATTTTTACAAATTGTAAGAACAATTTATTACGTTTATTCTTGTTGAATATATATGTTTATTTTCGGTTGACATAAGATAATTTATCTTGTTTCGCCGGCAAGACTCGAAAAGAAATATTGTAGGTAACATTTTTCTGATGACTATGCTAAAGAAAGAAAACTTTCTTGTGTTTGTGCTAGCTCGTTATTATGTATTTTTTCTTGTTCCAGGTAAGACAAAATATTTTTGCACCCTTCCTTCAACTTTTTTGTAGAAGTAGAGCTTAGTAGTTATGTTTTGTGAAGACAAGACTTGAACTGGATTATAATTATACGTTGTAGCAAAGTGATATTATTCTTCAGTGTTGTACTTTATACATTGAGTAAAATTAAGAGGTAGACAAAAGAGGTCAAAAATTGTCTTTTTAATTTATGTTAACTGCTATTTTTGGGGCATAATCCACCACACGGGCCCAGTGCGGATTGGCGGGTGCTAACGACTGCAGATGCAGCCGGGACCAACGGCTAAACGTGCCTTTCGAAGCATGGAGGAACTCAAGATAGAAGATTTTTAGTCAACCATCTAATGACCGACCACTGCGAAAGTTGCTCAACTTCTTCAAACTCAGCCGAACGCGCTATCCACCCACGCCGTCGAGCTCCTCCATAATTTACGTTAACTAGGCATAATACCTTCATACTGACATAATATGTGGCTTGTTTTGATAAAAAGAACATTCAGCGTATGTTTAGTGTATTGTTACTGAAGTCCTACTCATAATCATCAGCCCGGTAATACTCGCACTGCTGGGGCATAGGCAATTCCTATGGATGCAATTGGGAGACTGGGCCGTGACTCACCACGCGGGCCCAGTGCGGATTGGTGAGTGTTAACGACCCTCAAGGGACCAACAGCTTAACATGCCTTCCGAAGCATGGATAATAAGTTTTTGGTCAGCCATCCAATGAGCGACCATTGAAAAAGTTGCTTAACTTTCACGATCGCAGGAATGTTCTAACCACCTCCACTATCGAGCTCCTCAGAAATAACCTACTAATACCTACTCTTATAAGGCCTTAGAAAAACAAAATAAGATATTTTTTTACAGTATTTGATGTTGCTTTACGTATCGTAACGGATTTGATACTTAAAGCAACGAGGCGTAACGAAGTAAATGTTTTGTTGATATTTTTGTAACAAAAAGCTTTCGGTGAGAAGCTATAGATTCAATAATTGGAAAAGTATTTGTCAAGGAATAATTATTTCATTTGAAATGTTCCATTAGTTTTTTTTTAGTGATTACATTATCAAGTTCAAATAGAAAGTAAGAAGAAAATGCTCTTCATCATTGCTTATTATTCTCAGTACCTACGTCATGTCCGAGTTTTCGAATAAATAAAGTCTTCTCTAAATAGCAAATTCTCATTAACAGCTTTTCTGGGAACGCCTCCAGTAATAATTACCATTGTTTTTGCCTTACTATATTAAGCTCTGTGGTGTCAGACTTTAGCCGAATTCAATTTTTCCAAGAAAATAATCACTATCTAACAATTTATTGCTTAATTAAAAACTAAAAATATTATAACAACTCCATTGATATTTCTTCTTGCAAATGTTTGATTCTTTTAAAGGTTTCCATATTTTTTTTTGACGTTGTAACTGCCTATTTTGATAAGGCGGTGGCAATGTCTTGTAGTCTTATGCCGCATTTATATTTGGTCGTTAGCTCGTATTCAGGTGTACAAAAGACATTACTAGAATTAGGACACCCGAAGCAAAATTTATACTGGTATAGGACTGGAAGACAGTGTCGGGTAAACAAAAGGAAATCTACACGAATACGGGCGTACTCAACTCCGTTCATTTACACTTGGCCATTTAACTGAATTCCATTGGCACTTATCTACCCGAATACGGGAGTACTCAACTTCGTTCATTTACACTTACATTAATGAATTATGTAAAATAATAAATTTCTAAGAGAGGAATGTAAGCAAAGAAGACATATAACATGTAAATAAAAATATTCAGAATTATAACGAAATAAAAATATATAAGATGTAAATAAAACCATTTCAGTTTGTATTTATAATAAACATAAGAATATCAATCGATGTTATAAAACATAAATAATATAAGGAATAACAAATGAAATGTAAATAAACAATAGAAATAAGAATGTATATGTATTAATAAAATAAAAAGATATAGACAAATATGTATAGCAAAACAAAATGGAAATAGCACGAAGAAGAAAATACCGCTTAAAGAAACTAGTCACATAAAAAAAAACAAACGTGCTTTTAAAGCAAGGAAAAATAATTAACAGCCAAAAAACTATAGAAGACAAAATCACAAAGCAACAAAACGAGGAGTATATAAAAAAACATACTAACCTACTGCATTCCATATGGCGATGTCTACTCCTAAACTCCATGGCACTGCGGCTGCCGTGGCTTCAAGCCAGGGCCCGTCGGGTGGAGTCGTCTCCAAGTCCACAGCCGGGTCTATGATCCTGGAGAACACCACCAGCTCGCTCTGAGATGGCGCCATACTCCAGTTGAAGCAGTCCCCTAGCTGTGGGTTGATCTTGAGGTTCACCTGTCTGCAAAAAACGTCGTGGCTTAAACCGGTGTTTTTAAACGAATGTGAAGATTATTTTATGTTCTAAGGATGTTAATAAAAATTATGGTCTGCTTGATGGTAAGCAGCCACAATTACCTATGCATGTGATTGCCTGTAATATGTGAAGCAACCTCTTCATTACTGAAGATCATAATAAAATAAAAGAATATATTAATTATGTTTTTAATTATTTTTTAAGCATTTAACTGCTAAATGTTTAAATCTAAAGAATATTTTTTTTTCTAGTAAACTTTTTTTTAGATTTAAACATTGAATGAATGAATGAATGAATGAATATATTCTTTATTGCACTATTACACACAATACAGAGAACATAAAACACAGAAACATAAACACAAAAGGCGGCCTTATTGCTAAGGTAGCAATCTCTACCAGGCAACCAAAAACATTTAGCAGTTAAATGCTTAAAAATAATTAAAAACATAATTATAATTGCTATTTCTTCTTTCAAATGTTTAATATCAAGTATTAAACAAAATAAAAAAGTATTCATTTGACATTGTGGGTTACCTACAATGCGAAGAGATGGCGCTGCCTTGCAGCTTAAGGCTAGGAAAATTTCGACGCGGCGAATAGGGCCGTGGTAGCATAATGGTCAGTGCATTCGCCCGGATTGCGAAGGGTGCGGGTTCGAGTCCCGTCCGCTGCCTGGTCCGCGTGGATTTTTTTCTAGTAAACTTTTCTTTAGATTTAAACATTTAGCAGTTAAATGCTTAAAAAATAATTAAAAACATAACTGTAATTGCTATTTCTTCTTTCAAATGTTTAATACTTGAAAAAGTATTTATTTGACATTGTGGGTTACCTACAATGCGAAGAGATGGCGCTGCCTTGCAGCTTAAGGCTAGGAAAATTTCGACGCGGCGAATAGGGCCGTGGTAGCATAATGGTCAGTGCATTCGCCCGGATTGCGAAGGGTGCGGGTTCCAGTCCTGTCCGCTGCCTGGTCCGCGTGGTTTTTTTTCTTGTAAACTTTTTTTAGATTTAAACATTAAGCAGTTAAATGCTTCAAAAATAATTAAAAACATAACAATAATTGCTATTTCTTCTTTCAAATGTTTAATACTTGAAAAAGTATTCATTTGACATTGTGGGTTACCTACAATGCGAAGAGATGGTGCTGCCTTATTGCAGCTTAAGGCTAGGAAAATTTCGACGCGGCGAATAGGGCCGTGGTAGCATAATGGTCAGTGCATTCGCCCGGATTGCGAAGGGTGCGGGTTCGAGTCCCGTCCGCTGCCTGGTCCGCGTGGATTTTTTTTCTAGTAAACTTTTCTTTAGAATATATTAAATTTTGGTGGAGCTGTGTACAAAGTCAAATCAAAATAAACATTTTGGTGGCGATGTGCTCAAAGTCGAAGTCACAATTTCTCTACTCAAATTTCAAGCATAATACAACTCCCTTGAATATTCCAAAAATTTTCCATACCCTTGAATATTCCAATTTTTTTATCGGTGGCCGTGGAGAAAAACAGGTGAAATAGCTTCAACAGCGTTTAATTATGTAATAATATTTACAAAAGATTATATTGTTACAATGAACAGTGAAATTTTCTGCAGGTGAGTAAGCAGTGCTTCTTTGATATCGCAAGCGTTTATTGGCTATGGGCTTTGGCTATGGCAGCCCCTTTCCATTAGGTCGGCCATATGCCAGGATGCCACCATTATCACATTAAAAAAACATTTGCTGCCACACTTAAATACGTGAATAAAAATAAAATAATTGCAAACGGGAACTATCTTTAGTGAAACATAAAAATTTAATAAACTCGCTGATTACGCCTATAATACATGTAATTATATACTTAAGCAGTTTAATAGAACTCTGTTCGTAACGTTTCCACGCAATTCACGTTAGTTACATATTTCACCACTTTGCGTCGTTCTGACATTTAATAATATTGTTGTTGATTTAATTATACTTTCTTTTCAATAGACATTTTAAGAACGAAAACTTAAAAACTATACAGCTTAACCTACTTAGCCACTTAAATAAATAATATACAATATAAAAAATTACCCCCAGCGCCGCTATCAGGAATGGTGCTCAATAGGCTAGCAGCATTACCATGTTGGATGACAAGGCAGATCCGTTGACCAAGATAGCTGCCAGCCTTTTGATCACCAGTCATTTCGGTGAGCCTCTTTAACATTTCCTTAAATAAGGAACGAGCGCTAGGACCCCATGGGCCCATAGTCTCTACACCATACGGCGCAAATAGGTAGTTCTAAACTTAACATCTTCCTTACACGTAACATCTTCGTTCTAACGAATAGAAAGACCGCTATTATCTTTTCCACCTAAACCTTTGATTTACATGAAAAATAAAAGGTAAAGAAAAAAATAATAATTAAAAGCTGTTAGAAAATGCTTGCCTGCAGGATCTAAGTACAACATGTATGACTGAATAGACCACAGTTTCAAAAACCTTCAGGACATGGTAAAACGGAATGTTATTCATTCTTTAATCCTTCTAACAATAAGTAACAAATTATTATGTACACACTTAACATATAACCCATACGACCAAATTATATTAAACCTATTTAACTATTCCAAACAAGGAACTGTGTTAACGTAGACACATATTGAACAGCCTTGATTAGTTTGTATCAAATCGCAAACTTATCGGCCCAAATCTGCCTAACCCAAATTCCTCGATAAATGGGACAAACTAAACAAACAAGTGTTTTTGCGACATACTCCTGGCGGGTTAGCAATGTGTAAAGGAACTTTTTATTTTAATGACAGTCGTTAACAACAGGGTGCCGAAAATGGCGTCATTGGAACATTTCAATAATTTAACATTAACTTATTAAAAAGCTCTTTTCAATCGTCCGATATTTTTCCTACCCCCCATTCAGGATATCTTTTAGCTGATGAGCAGAATGGGCGCAAGAATCTCATCAGCATTTATTTATTTATTTGACATGCCATCGACAACGCATGCACAAATTTCAATAAAGATTAAAGTTGCAGGTAGTATTTAACCGTGTGAATTGCCATTGCAGGCATGTACAACATTGACTATATGTAGGTAGGTACTTATATTTTTAACAGTAAAAAATTACTGTTCGGTTTCAACGTTACCATATAAATGATTTTTGTGGGCTTTGAGTGGAGCATGAAAGATGTCAACGTCATGGCATATCTCGTTGTATGCGTCTTTAATTCTGTTAAACGGGAAGCTAATTTTGATTTAAAGGGACACTTAACGAATGATTTGATGGGTTGGCGGGGGATTTTTCTGGGAACCTTTAACTTAATTTCCGCAAAAAGGTCTTGCGCGACAATATTGCCGTGAAGTAATTTGTGCAGAAATAAAATGTCCGCGGTTTTTCTACGCTTTTCTAACGCGTATGAAGTTTGAAGTATTTGAGACGAGTGTGGTAATCCGCACGGTAAGGACACTTCCTGTCTTTGAAAGCAAGAAACCTCGCAAGATTACGTTGAATTCGCTCGATTCTATCAATGTGGACTCGATATTGCGGATTCCAGACTTGGGATATGTATTCTAGTGTACTTTGCACCAAACTCTTATACAAACATAAAATTGTTGCGGTGTTATGGAAATTTAACAGTCGTAGCTATATTTACATAAAATCATGTCGCTGCCAATACAATTTTTTAGAAACATTAATTCAAATTCGGTATAGTCCACTCACGTTTTGATTGCTGTGTCACAAATAGTGATATTTACGTTAGGGTATGGGTGAACAAAAATCTATCTCGAGTTCCTCTGTGCTTCGGAAGGCACGTTAAGCCTTACTAAAGCCGAGGTCCAAGTTTCAGAGACTAGTTGAGTCGATTCCCTCAGGTTCGAGTAGTCTAGAGGTTCCAGACGGAGAGGAGACCCCCCGTGGCGAGATGCCAACTCTCGGCTTAAGGTCTCCTTAGGATCTCACCGTCCCCAAACCCGGTGACTTTGAAAATGTGATCTGCGACCAACAGCATACACACTCAAAAAAAAAATTTTAATTGGCTTCCGAACAGTAAACATCTACACATCAATTGTCTTTCATTTGGGCACCCAATTTATTACATATAGTAAACGAAAAAATATATACAGGGTGGGAAAAAAGACCCTGGCTGGGGGAAAAATACCCCTAATATAGAGCAGAGCATTAAATTTTGCTATTATGTATCATTGTATAAAGGGGAGACTTCTGAGATATAGGCTGCGGTCTAGTTCAGATACCAGTCTCCACTATCTTGTCAAATAGAAATTAAGTCATTAAGTTTTTTTTTTATTTAGGGGATTGTGTGGAGAAGAAATAAAGCATTATTATTATTTCTGCTAACAGCATCCGCTGGCAGAAACAATACTACCAAAAGGTAGTGTTTATGTTACTGACCCTTTGATATGGCGTGTAAATAGTCATCCACTGGAATGCGGGTTTATATATGTGTATGTGGCGGGCGAATTATTACGTACGAGCTGGTTTAACACAAAAAAACATCAACTATGCAGCAAGTGGAAATTGAATAGGCGCAATGCCACCATCGACTCACCTGGATGTCTCTCTGCGTCCTTATCGGGCTTGCAAGCGTGGGCACAGCCGTAGCAGCTCTTTCTTTCTTACTCTGGTGGGTGCGGTTGAAATCTTCTATGCGATTTCCGAGATAGTTACGCGCTGCGTGTCAATATATTATATGCGTACGCCTAAATGAAAGACAATTCGTTATTCGGTTTAGATGTTTACTGTTCGGAAGCCAATAAAAAGTTTTTTGTTTTTGAGTGTGTATGCTTAGTTGGTCGCAGATGACCAGTATAACCGGGTTTGGGACCTCAAGCCGAGAGTTGGCATCTCCCCACGGGGGTAGTCTTCCCCCAGTTGACTGGGTCTCCTCTCCGTCTCTAGACCACTCAAACCTGAGGGAATCGACTCAACTAGTCTCTGAAACTCGGACCTCGGCTCTAGTAAACCGTTGTCGTGGAGTGTATTCTAACCACAATT